CGAGGCACCATTAGACCGTCGGCAGACGCCAGCCCGTTCGATAGCGACTTTAGACTGTACTAGTGGCGCAATAGCGACAGGCGATTTCGTTGCTGGGAACACAAACAACTGATTGCTCGACCAGGCAACGAGCGCCGGCGGGGGTGAGACCAACAAGGAAAAAAACCCACAAATCCGGAAAACAGTAAGTTCCGATCAATTGGGAACAAATTTTCCACAAGAATACACGGCGCACTAGAGAACGCACCCAGGCCTGGGGAAAGCAGAGACCTTTTGTAACATAGTGGAAATGGACGCTGTAGAAACCAAACACACAAAAGAGGTGCGGATGGGGACCGGTTGCCGACGGCTAATTAAACCAATGGATAGATGAACATGACTTTCATTGGTTCGTTTCACACTGCTCTGCAGTGCCCTCTTTGCGAATTTTCGTTTTTCTCCTCGATTATGCATTGTATTCGTGCTGGCCCATGGTCCGCGTTGCCTTGCCACGTTATCTTAGCCGCATAGCGGAGACCGACACACTCTGATAATGATCGTCTGTAGCTGCTTGGACTACAGCAGTGACTACGGCCTCTATTGCAACCACAGGCTGTTACTACTATAATGAAGGCAAACAGTTTTCCTATGGCTTGTAGAGTACCACGTCGGCAAGTTGGTTGTGATTGGGCCTGACCGCCGTGGGACCGCCGTTCGTGTGCAGGCGCCCATTTCCAAGCGCAAGCTTCCCGTTTCCTAAGTCTGTTGAAGCTGGCTGTTACTTTAAACAGATCGAGGTGAACCGACGGATCGGCGGATGGAAGACGGAGCCAGAGATGAAGCGGGTGCCAGAGATCCTTAGGATCGTCAGCAAAGGGGAGGAATGCCAAAACCAGTAAGCACGTTAAGAGTGAGAGGAAAGGAGATAGAACGCGAAGTCAATCGGGAGAAAGTCGAGGCTGTGACTGTGAAGAGGGTCAGCCCCGTTTGTGGTGTCGGTAGCGCCTGAGCCCCAACTATCAAGGAAGGCGCAGAAAAGAATGATCTCGGCCATGGCCGATTACTCAAAGGAGCCAGTCGGCGGTCTTCGGGGCGCTGGTACCCGCACGTACCTTCTACATACAGCTAGCCTTCATCGTTCACTTTTGGCCTCTATACCGTACACCGCGCTGAAGTCGCACCGCGAGAAAGTGGCCGGCTATAGTAGCGCCCCATTTCATAAGAGCAGTGGCAGTAGTTCGACTCGAGCGGAGCAGAGTGAAGTAATAGTTGTAGCGAAACCTGGCTGGCCGCTAGCGTGACTTGTACGCGCCGGCTTTCCTTAGACATAGAATCGACGTAAAGACTTGCCGTGAAATCGGCTGAAGTTGAATTGAGTTAGCTAAAGTCGAGTCACCCATCCGCCTACCGCTGGACTACCAGGCAGTAGGGTAGTTTCCCGGAGAGTTATTGAATTTTCTTATACTGTAGGTATTAAGAGCGGCCGTGCGCCCTGGCACGGTCATGCGTACCGCCTTTTTCGCGCGCCCACCCCAGCCCCTCGTCTAGGGCACCCCGTTGAATCCTTCCGTGGAACTCTAGCTTTGGAAGAAAAAAGAACGAGCCTGTCGTTGCCGTCGTCGTAGTTCGTCTGACCTGGAGGTGCTGCTAAGTAAACAAGTACAAATACAGAACTACTTTTTTCATCATCTTTGACACCTTACATTTCGTAGACTACAGATCTGCTAGCGATGCCAGATCGCCTTCTCTACCACCAAGCTGAAGGCACTACACGATTACTCTGTTCCAACAGTACTGCGAAAACTTAAATAAAACATGCATAGGCGCATATCGCTGAGGTGTTATCTCGATCCAATGGACGCAAACCGTCACCGGGCAAGCCTGTGACCTTTCCATATTTCACCATATATTTCGTTACTGAATGTTTCACTCTGAAGCAGTATATTTAAGCTAAAACCTGCAAACCGGAACTCGTCATGGTAACAAGCTCTTCCATGAAATTTGTCATCGTTTCTTTCATTAATTCGCTGGAGTATGCTGACAACTTGCGCTGTTTCTTTTCTATTTGATCAAAGCATGCCAAGCGTAGTGAAAACGGGTTGCCCCAAACGTTAGAATTTGACTTCGATATCATTTCGACTGTACGCAGGGTGCCAAATGCACGAGTACGGAGCATACAACTCAAAGGACAACGAAAATCAAAGTGGACTATCCGAACGACTTGTTTGCCCATAAATGGCACTCTACATACACTCTCGGTCGAGTTCAGAAATAGGCAATTTGAGAATCTGCTAGGAAATTATCATTTCTATACGGCCATAGCTTGCTCCTGAATGAAGCTTGAATTGTTAACGCGATATTCCACGACATTGAGCTAGCTTGTAGCGTTCTTCGTAGTGCAGGGACTTATACATCGCTATCACTATGTGCTGCCTCAGAATTAACTTGCGCCCAGGCGCAAAATAGGCCTAGGACATTGAACAGCCCTACGCGCAACTTATGCGTCGACGGTTGGCTGGCCTGCAATGTTTCGGCAGGATCCAGTACTGCGAACGCACGTTCGTCTTTTTTTTGTTGACTCTCATCAGATACTCGTACGAGCGACTACAAAGCAGCCTGAACGAGAAGGTGAAGCTGGCGTTGGGTCTGGCGAAGCAGTTTCATAGACCTGTCGTGGATGTTCCACTGGTTTCTTTTTTACAAACTCACCGCACCAATGGCTTCAGGTTTCAGCCTTTCTGCATAAAACCGGGCCGGCTGTTCCTACACAGCTAAAGAGGCTGGCGATTCAGTTTCTGCCCATGTAATTGATGCTGCTACCGTCGGCTTCCGCGAGATTTGGCTGAATTTCCATTATAATATGGCGACAGGCACAGCCAACGTACAGGGTCCGTTAGCACAGCCAGCACAGCTAGCAACGAAGGGGGTACAAAAAATAGGTTCCGGGCGGGAATTGCGGGTTGGAAGCAGACGAAACGACGAAAGTAGCCGCAGCAGGAGCAGGCAACGCCGATTGATTGAAGGCCCTTGAAGGCGCGAATGTGACGGGAACTGCCGCATTGGCGGGTGACCGCTCTAATACTATGCTGATCAGGACGCAGCGGTAGGACTAGTAGGCCGTAGGAAGCCTCCCGTGGCACGGGTTGGCCAGAGCGGGGTTGGGCAGGCTGTTTTGAAACGCAGCGCAAATGCTGCAATGGACTTTACGCCTAATCACGAATTAAAGCGCTACCGCAACCGCCTAGCCAATAGGTGGCTAACGATTCAAAATGGCTGGTAGTAGAAGACGGCCAGGCGGTCCAAATACGAGTCCAGACTTGTGTAACGTAGAGAATAGCAGACGATAATAACGTAAATAATAACAGCAACACCAGTAGAAGCGGAAGTTGCTCAATGAAAACGGCGGACGATAGCGACGAATATGAGACAAGGTCCCGTCTAATCGAATAATGGATTTGAGAGTTTATTCTGAAGATTCTCCGTGCCGTCGTATTCTTTCTCATGGTACGCATTGAAACCCGTTAGAATAGTGATCTTTCGCATTGTTGCAGAAAACCTATTGCTTATTTAAGCACCCAAATATTCGTATAAAAATGGGTCAGATCGGTGGGGCTTAAAAGAGGCATAGGATTCGTTGACAGGTGTAGATGTTGTTGCTGAAGTATTCGATCGTACTAAAAACTCAAAACACTATACGTGATTTCAGGCTTGGTATTTTCAAGGATGGGTAAGTTGTACAGTATCTCAAGGGTTCCTGACCTCCGAGCCCATCTGGGAATGCGTCCTTTTACTAAACGCTTATGAATACACCACACATTCTTTGAGTACACATCCATACTTCTCAAGACACTCTAAACCATACCCCTATAAGCTAGCACGCCGATAAAGACAACTATCAATTCAGACACATACATCGCATGTCATCATTGATACGCCACAGGGTCACGTCAATTAGAAGGTAAGCAATAGTACTACTTTACCTCAACCGAATCGATCACAATTGCCAATGAATTGAGATAAGCATGCGTGACGGACCTCATCAAAGCCGTGACATCCTGGCTTGGTTCTAGCCTACCCCCCAATCAAACAGCCGACCGACAGCAGTTGTTAACGATTCCTCGATTTCGAGATCTGCTTGCACCTCGTGAGGTCAGGCAAATGCGCTTCTCACAAGCCAACCGATGCTGGCTGGGTGACCAAGCTCGATCTGACCAGCAAGCTCTCTTCGCGTGCGATCGTGAGTGATCGATCGGTCGGTCGGTCGGTCGCTGTCTGAGCGCCGTGGGAGTTGACACTCGTCGCTGCTCGGACAACTTTAAATGATCGCCTCCTTCGCCTGCGTGCTCACACCTCGTCACCAACCTCAGCGCGCACGCGAAGGCACCGTGCAAATAGCATATGTCGAAGGAGAGAACAAATATTAGAAGGTGTACTTTTCCCGAGTGAGACTAATATATGTATTATAAAATGTATGCTACGTTGTAGCCGCCGCAAAAGGCTCTGTTAAAGGTAAAGAGCCGGTAGCTGCCTACGAACCTAGGCCTGTCCATCTGGCGAGAAGCTACATGCTTATTGATGCGGACTGCTCTATCCTTTAAGTGGGGACGCTAATGGTGGTCAAACTAAACACTAATTGTGATCATCAGTATTGCCATCATCATTATACCACTATTGCGCTTACTATGTTAGCGTTAGCTTAGCAGGAGATGATAGCACCAGCCTAATCAAGTACATAAATAAATATAGCTAAGGTTGACAATTACGGACCATATAGTAACCCCGACAATGGATACAATATCGGATACGTTCAATGAGGTGCTCGACTAGTACTGACCTAGTCATTTATATTGGTTTACGTCACGGACGGTTTGATCAAACGATCCCACCATTATACCATGGGCTATCAGCAACTCTAGAACATACATGCACGCCAATGGCTAATCTACTGGGCGGGGTCTAACATTTTCAAGGCAGGCGGAAACTGATCCGGCGAGTTCGTAGCTGCTGCTGTTCCTGCTTACCCAATAGCCGGCGACGTCCTCTTCGTAAGTGACAGGGGCTGATCCTCGTGAGGTGCTGGGACGAGTTCTCTATCGAGGGATTTCTTGAGCAGGGGCATTGCTTGCATTGTCTGGCCACCGACTATTGGTCCCAACTGCTCGCCGGACCGTTTTGTTGCCGCAGGGGGAAATACGGGTGACATCGTAGGTGAAGGCGGTGACGTACTCCCGCCAGCGGGTTCCTTCCGCATTCGAGATAGCCTATGAGACAGCGTTGGACTTCGCAGGTCATATCAAATCAATTATACAATATAAACACAATTATACAACATAAACAACAAGAAGAAGGTGTGCATTCGACACAAAGATGACATCATATATATATACACAGCGTGTGCTAAAAGTTTATACTTGATACGAATGCGGCTTCAGTTGTAAGCTCGCTTTTTTTGCAGTTGCAAGCTTAGTGGTCTTCTAATTATATACTTTAGCTATTTCTTACCGTAAGCTTACTTCTGTCCCACCCTGTATATAAATATATTAAACAACACACAAAAGTAGATTTTGTTCTATTTGGAATCCAGTGGAAATTCAGTCAGACAAAGAATACTTTATTTACACACAGAATTTCAAACTATAGCTAAGTATTTTCCATACCGTAATAAAAAGAGTACGGATATTATCTGTCAACTCATCACGTGCAAACGTCCCTTTTGATTACTCGGTAAATTTCTTCAAGCTAAGAGCCGACAACACATCAGTTCTATAATTCTTGTTATTTGTCTGCACACACAGCAGTTATTTATTAGCTCCTATATGCAGTCGTACTGTACAACAAACCTAAGCTTATCTCAAATACGACGGCACTCAAACTAGGCCTAAGACGTAAATGTCACAAGTACGTAACTAACCTTGCTTCCGCTCCACCTCCGTCGGAGTCGTGTGATTGTTTGACGTGGAAGCTCAGAGTATGCAGGTACTTGAAGCCGCGACCACATTCGTTGCACGAATACGGTTTGGCGGCTGCTGCCGATGGACGCCTTGAGGCGGCAGGGGGCCGCGAGGCAGTCACGTGATGGCCAGGGGCACCCGGCGCCCCTGGGGGCGACGGAAGCTGCGGGCTCGGCAGAGGAGACAACAGCTGCTGTCCCGGCAGCAATGGCGAGGCTCGCTGCTGTTGGAGCAACTGATGCACCTGGTTCATGTAGTCCACAGCGAACTGAGCGTCCATGCTTTGCTCCTGCAGGGATACCGGCACAGGTAGGTAAGTAACGATAAAAAGATAGCGGACGAAATCGCACGGTTGAGGAACAACACAGTCAATGAGAATAGAAATAGAAAACGTGGGTTTCGATGACAATGATGACGATATCGACGTTGGAGTTGATGTTGGTAATGTTGAAAAGTTGCCAAAGAAGCCACCGTTCGTCGGAGTGAGGTCCACGAAGGAAGTCACCGAGGATGAATTCGAAGGGTCGGACAAAGAAGACAGAAAAAATGGTGTCATTAGTAGAGGTCGTGACGCGGACGATAAATTCTCAGTGGCAATAGGCACCGAAGAATTTGGTTGTTAGTCATAGTAAATAACACAATTTGGCGTCCTTTTTCTTTGAATACCGGTGTTACCCTTAGCAATACGTCAGAAAAATGAAAAACTGGTATACTCAAACGATTCAAGAAATTGCACGATGTATTGAGTGGCCATCAAATCATATTCGAAAATGTCGATACCCTGCAAATCGTTGCGCAGTCAGGCGGGAATGACTGCAGGGGAGCAGGAACTCGTCACGGCGGGTTCGCTTTAAAATTTAAGACTGGAAATATAGAGTGAAACGTCTCTTAATACCATCTGGCATGAGCGTCACTAGGGCAATTAGGTGAACAATGCCGTATTTGCCAGATGGCTAAATAGGCAGGCCCTGCTGTCTCACCTGCTCTCAGCTCTCGACAGATTCCCTAAATCTCGCTTGCTACTCTCACATATTAGGGACGCATTATATAACGTTTTCTAATACATGTCGGTTTTTGAATTACTAACAAAAAAAAAAAAGCGTTTGACAATATAAATACGAAGTGGAAGAAATTGAGAGAGCGTCTAACGTTGTGATGTGACGGGACGAGATCGGGTGACCCCTCGTACGAATTAGCTAGATTCGACGATGCCCGCTGTTACTTCTTTGACCTAATTGGTAATGACATCTGCAAAACAGTGGATGGATGAATCGAATTTGCGATCGACAACAGATATGTTGAACTTCTTCTTATACATCCATTGCTACTACTGCTAATAGCACAGACCCATTATGGCGGGAGTAAACGGTATAAACGGTATTTCAGAGTTGAACCAAAAGTGACAACAACAATAAGTTAAACAAGTGCGAGATCGAAATGGGAAAATTAAAAGTTCACGCCGACTAACCTTTCTCCTTTCATTAAAGTAACAAAGTGCACAAGACAATAAACGTTCAGCTATTAATAAGTTAAAGATGTAGCATTTAAGTACTACTGTGTATATACATTGATCTCATAATGGCCTAATACATCCGCGCGCGCCGGCTAGCAAAGGAGAGAAAATAACGGATTGCAATGTTACACCCTGAGGTAACCCCGTAGTCCTAGACCTTGATGTACTGAATACTGGGTTTGTTTAGATTAAACGAACAGCTGGACATATGGGAATATAGCTGAGTTTTGCTACAAGAGTACTACATGTGTGATTCAATAGAATCTATAATTAGATTCAATCTATTGTGAAACGTTTGCCTGTTCAAATATCACGAAAATGAAACGTCCCCTTAACACATTTTCACGTCCACCGCGATATCTACTTCAATGGCTGATTTCCGTCTATCCGTTTTTCGCAAACCTCATATTGAGTATACATTATCTCATCGATGTTTGCTCTGTCTATGGATCTAGACGATTTTGCGTGTCGTCGAAAATATATTTAGGCATATTGCATTCATACCTAAACCATGTTCAGCCTATTACGATGGCCTGGCAAAATCGTGCCTGCTTATCTATTAACGTTAAGTCATTTTATTTATTATTAATATGTGACCACTTTCTAATAGACTAATGGTTAATAGTACAGTAAAAAACCTGTTTAGAACGCCAGATATGTGTCAGCCTTGAAGCTCTAATGCATTCCTGCTCTATATGCCTATAGGTGGCAAAGGTCCAACTATTTGCACCCAAGCGTGCCAAGTTAAACAATATCCCATTTTGCCGATGTGTATAATTCGTCCAGTTTATAATATAAAGTCGTCCGTTTCGAGATTCTCCCCTTTTGGACAGAAAGGGCCGGAGCGATCTGGGGCAAAAAGAGAGTCTCGACGCATAGGCTGCTTTACTTCACAGCGATGCCCTGTCAGGACCCTGGCGGCGTACGCCCATCAAATGACTATGCGGGACCGTGTGAATGATGTTGTTTTTGCTAAGCAGTCACTTCTTGGGGCAATTACTTCGGCGTGAGGGGAAGTGCATTGTGAGCATTGCACTATTTCTGTATCGTTCACATCGACATTTTAATGGGGTGAGTTTTGTTAATTAATTATGTTGGTGGCAATATCCTCGGGGTCGCTCTATATTACAGGTACTTCATCGCGACTATATATATATATATATATATATATATATATATATATATATATATATATATGTATGTATGTATGAGTTTGTGCGTGATGTATAGTTGCAGAGGCTGTCCTGCAGCGTCAGTAATAGCAAAATATCACAAATTTTCTATATAGTTGATGTGTACCTTACGGCAGGATCTGGTCAGTATACAGGGTATAGATTCAGTCGCACATTCTGAGTTATGGTGTGACATTGAGGCGCTCATATGTATCTCTCCTCTCTGAACTTGCGCAGGAATGGCCAATCGCATCTACAGAGAAGAGCGGCTGTATTTAAACTGTGGCCGGCCACATCGAGGCTCAAGTCAGAGGGGAAAAGAGACACGCTGCTGCCATACTGCCGTGCCGCAGATCCGCGATGGAATAGGACTATGGAATTGGCGGCACTAAAGCGACTAGCCGGGTGCTACACGCAGTATATAGCCGCTATGGGGGAAATGTCTCTGTCGGGCGGAGGGTGGGGTAAAGAAGGATTGGGGGGAAATAGGGGGATAGTCGCGCGCCAGCGAAAGGGGCACGACCGCCCGCGCGCGCGAGTTCGACAGTAAAAAACTTGCTGCCTTTAAAATGCTAGCCGCTCTACCAACAGTGCAGCCGGACACTGCCGGGGTCGATCATTGCTCCTGTTACTGCTACGACGGCGGTCCGTGCTGAGAAAAAAGCTAAGCTCGACCAGCCAGTCAGCGTGCAGGATAGGCAACGCACGCTGTACCCCAACGCCCCCTCACAAACTTATCCCCACGCCCTGTATCAAAAGCTCGCACGCCCTTAGCGATCACCATTGCAACTGGCACCGATATTCTACCGCTGGCCACAGCCGTCCGCGGGCACCCTCAGGACTGTGGCTAGGAAATAAGAAAGCCTTGGCCGCCGCTACTACTGCTGCAGCTGCAGCAGTGGCTCCTTAACCGGCACCGGCGGCGAGAAAAATCGTAAAAATTATTTGGTCCAGCCTGAATCGCATTTCACATATGCAGTCGGTCGTCAGCGGCAGCGTCTACTATCGGCAAGAACCAAACAACCCTACTAGAGGGCTGGCCGGCTCGCCAGCGAGTCAGTCTTGCGGAGTGCCGAACTCGTAGCACATTCGAAAGAAAAACGGCACGAAGGCAAAAAGCTTTTATGCGGGTAGTCAATGCTGGAACCGCTCTCGCGGCCGCCATTCGAATAACAGGCAAACCCACAGGAAAGTAGGAAGACTTCACCGAAGTGTTAGGTACCAGCAGGCGGCAGTAGCGAGCGATTCATGTGTACTTTCTATGCTATTTGCCATATACTATAAAGCCTATAGCAACGCGTGAACGAGAGGTATGGGATAGCATACATGGGATATTCGATAGATGAGCTTCGTATTGGGCGGCAGCTGTAGGCGGTGTTTCCTGCAGTGCGTTATGCTTCCGACTACACTCATATTTATGATAGAGATGCAGGAGGCTGGTTCATTGAAAAAAACGATAACGGTTCCACAAAGTATCGAAAAATAGTACAAATGGTAAAGGGGGCACGACTCATCAGAAACAGTTACATTGTGCCTTTTCCTACGTAGTGACATTACATGTACTATTAAATACAAATGTCGCACACGGTTAGAACAAGAATCGTTCACTTTTGCGTTACGCAGTAGCGTCTAAGTGGAATTTCACTGGAAACGTACGGAAACAACGTCTTAATTGTCGTTCTACGACTAATTATATCATTATAACTTCGACAGATACGATAGAGAGCAACACGCTAAAGTAGGGTGTGTACTGCCATGACCAAGCGCAAGTACTAAATGGACATATCGCCATAATAAACACGGTCAGTTACAGGGTCATCCTTTTCATTCGGGCTACTGGTATCAGAAAAACAAAAAGGCAATTGGTGTTGTCTGAACCTCTTATTAAACCCTAGACAACGCCTGTTGAGCGTGAGCCAAAAATAACGATATAAGCCCAGATTCTTAATCTAAACCGAATCTTTACTCTTTTGATACTATGCCATGTCGATCAAAAGTGGGCAAATCTATCCGCCGATGTCGCCAGTGGATCGCTGAAGAACTAAATGCTGTCCACATAAACGCGCAGAGTAACGAGTCACTCAGAAACTTAATAGTTTGTGTTCTGATGAACTTCTCTTGATAAGTGTGCTTCATTGCTGTCGTACAGGGCCTCTGGACGTACACTGCACTTATATAATATATGACTTCATGGATGGATGTTCTTTGCCATCGGTTGTTTTATGTGAATTGAAGTTAATGAAAGTGCGTATGATCAGTAAATGGCAATGAAGTAAATTAAGTCGTCAATGAGGTATGTACGCACGTATTCGTGATCAATCAAACGAAGCTTTTTTATCTCAACAGAAAGAAGCTAATTTTATAGACTTACACATGAAAATATTCATGTTTTTGTGTCAATATCCTCGATTCAAATAGCATCCTAGTCCACGTACTTCGCCCAAATGTACATTATAAGCCCCACGAGTCTAAGTCCTCAGGGTTGGGTCTACATCTCAGTATGGGAAATGATTTCCAGTTTGCTAGAATTAACGCTCATGCATAGCGTGAATACTGCTACTAGGTGCTCGCTCACTATTAACTTTTCAGAGCTCGACCAGTTAA